ATGATAGAATATCCTAATTTATTATCCATAATTCTAATGTGGCTTCATAATTGCCACATTAGTATTGTTGCAACAAAGTCAGAAAGAAAAAGGTCATCTTTATCAGGAGCATTACACTGAGAAATTTCATTGGGGTGGTTGAGGATAATTCTGGGGATAGTTAGAGCCATTTGTGGAAAAAATCCTGAATCTATCCTGCTGTGGTTTTTTTTTCTTTTTTTTTCAGTTGTAAATTTCTTTGTGGCAAACACAGGAAGGGAACTAAAATTTTTGTATTTTTAACAGTTGTGAGGAACAGCCAGGACTTTGAAGTCAAATAGACCTGAGTTTGAATCCCAGTTGTCTCATTTCTTAATTTTAAATTAATATCATCTCTCTTCTTCAGTTTCCTCATCTGTAAAATGGGAATAACAATAGTTCCTTTCCTCAAAATGTTGTGAGGATGAGATATGATTTCATCATGGCTAACACGGGCTCCTAAACAGTCTCCCTGCTTCTGCCCTTTGTCCTGTGACATCATATTCTCACCACAGCAGCCACAGTGACCCTTTCAAATTGCAAATCAGATAGATTATATCGGTGCTTTGGTGAAAAGCCCCCAGTGGCAGTCTTCACTGTGGTCTCCAAGATCTGGCCCTTCCCCCTTCTCCTCCTGTCCCCTCCTTGCCTGCCCCTCTCCAGCTGCCTTGCTGTTCACACTCCTAATTCAAGGCCTTTGCATCTTCTTTTTCCTCTGCCTGGATGCTCTTCTTCCAAATAGCCAAATGGCTTGCTCTCTCACACCCATCAGATTTCTGCTCAAGTGTCACCTGACAAGTGAGACCATCCCAACACCCCTTCCCTCTCTGCAGCTTTTCTCTCACCTAGTAACATACTATATATATTTACTTTTCAAATTGTTTTTTGTTTTCCGAATGCCTAGTACACACCAACTAGAATGTAAGCTCCATGAGAGAAGAGGAGTTTGGCTGATGCCTAAAATAGTGCCTGGCATACTCGTATCAGGTACATAATAGAGGTTGACCAATATTGTTCAACAAATCATAAGAAGAATTAACACTTAAATACCACTCGCCATGTATGTGGCACTGTTATAAGCAATTACATGTGTTAACTCATTTATCCTTACAACAGCCCTATGAGGTAGGTGTGTACTATCATTATGCCTAGTTTGCAGATGCGATACTGAGGCACAGAGAGGTGAAGTGACTTGCCACAGTCCAGGTAGTAAGTGGTAGGGCCAGGATGTGAGCCCATACGTCTAATAATTATGTTGTCCTCTACTGAGAGCCTCCTCTAGGCTGGGCACTATCCAGGCACTGGTTACAGCAATGAACAAAATAGCATCTCTCTGCTTTAGGTTAATAAAGACTTAAGAAATCAAATAATCAAATGCAATGGATAAATCTTGGCAGATCCATGGCTGGATAATTGGGAAAATCTGAGTATCATCTGGGTATTTATTATATTCAAGAATTATTGTTAATTTTTTTAGGTGTGATAATAGTATTGTGCGTAAACAAGATTATCTTTTGTTTTAAAAATGCGTGTTAAAGCATTAAGGGGTTTGATAGTCTTTAGGTCTATATTTTAAAATACTTCAATGAAAAATAGGAACTGTTAAATCTAGGTGAAGGAGAACGGATTATTCATATACTATTCTTGGTTTATTTGAATATTTTTTATAGTAAAAAAAGGTTTTTAAAAAGCCATGGAAAAAGAGAAAAATATTTCTGAAAAGCCATTGCTCTCATGGAGCTTACATTCTAATGAGAAGACAGAGCTCACAGTGGTTG